CCCGCAGCTTCTGTAACTACGGGGAAGCCGCTCAAGCCGAACCTACAGAGTGAAGGAGCGAGTGAGAGAATGAGCAGAAATCACCCTTCCCGGTCCCTCACGGTCCTCTCCCCGAGCAAGGTCCGCTCGGGGGTCCCTTCTTCGGGCCCCAGCTCTTGCTGGGCCGATGGCCCCTCCTGGAATGTGGGGATCCTCAGGGAAGGGTCCCAGCTCTGTCATCCCGCACCAGCCTGCATGCCTGGGGCCCCCAGCTGTCCGGTGGTGCGGCCTCCGCTCGAGGCACCAAGCCCCCTCCAGTCTTCTCTGTGCCTATGCCTGAGCCCCAGATTGCAGCCGGCACCTCGTGTGCCTCCCTGGCTGCTGCCCCCTGCACAACACCATCGGCTGTGGCCTCCCTGACTCTGGCCTGAGCGCAGCATCTCAGACCACGGCCCTCGCCTTCTGGGTCCAGCTTTTGCTTCGGCCTGTGCCTCCGTGCATCTCCGGCGTGGTCGGAGTTAGCCTGACATAAACTGTCTTCCGGTTTAGATCTAAACCGCCCCCCAAAAGTGTCACGTTTAGAGGCGGCACCTGGCTGGAAGGGGCAGAGCCCTGGGCAGACTGAGGAGCGTGTGTTCCTATCCCTCCACCCCCTCTCTCTGTCCCTGGCCTCCACGTGTGTGCAGTTTCCACCGCTGCCTCACAGTCAGCTAACCGCTGAACCCGTGGATCCGGGGGCCGGGCAAACTTCTTTAAGTCGCGGGTGTCAGGTATTCTGTCCCCTCAACTGGAAGTGACGAAAATACCACCGTTCTGAACCCTGTGCACTTATCTGTGAAAGGAGCACAGCAGAGGGTGGTCGTGAGCTTCTGGTCACAGTCAGGGTCTGTTACGATCACCAGGACCATCATCCTCACCGGCAAAAGCAGTGCCTCGGTGCCACCGACACCTGCTGCGGCTGAGCACCGGGGCCAGGCATGGCGCCAGAACGCCGGGGTGAGTCTGCGTGGTGCAGCCCCTCTGTGCCACACTCATCTCATTTGTAAAAGGGGAATAAGAGCTCTGTCTACCTCCCAGGGCTGCTGAGGAGCGAGTCAGGTGATTTAAGAGCTCAGGCCATGTCTAAAGTAGGATCAGCATTCACTGAGCTGCTCCGAGCCCGTGATCCCTCAGGCCAAGAGGGGCATCACCTGCCAAGCCGGGCACAGCGGGGTGCAGAGCTCCTCCGAGTCGCCCGTGCTGTGGTGCCGTGGCTGTGCCATGCCTGTAGGAGCCCTGTGCCATAGAGGGTGGGCTGTGCGTCCTCTCAGGAGGAGGGGCTGCAGCTCCAGGTCAGCCCAGCCCGGGTCACAGCACAGGCCCGAGCCATGCAGGCCCGGGGAGCTATCTGTTCCTCCAGATCTGTTCCAGGGAGAAGCACGGCCCACAAAGAGATCACGCTTTATGCCAGATTAAACACTGCAGACTTACTCAGAAACCTAAGTTACCGACCATGGAAGGAAAAGAAATCCATTAACCAAAGCCTCTCTCTGAAGGAGGAACCAAGGTGTTTGGACTAAGCCTTCGGTGACACATTCCGATTACTCACAGCCCGTGGTTCTAGGATTTAAAGACACAGGGACAGCTCAGAACACTGCCTTCTCAAGACAGGACTGACTTCTCCAGCAAAACGCACACGCGACAGTGCAGCACAGCGGCAGCAGGGCCAGGTTCCGGGTGCAGCCCCCGCCTCACCCTTGGAGGAAGTGTGCGGTCACGAGGTGAACGGCTGCTCAGGTCTGCTCCTGTGAAGAGGCCGGCCCCTGCAGGCGTGGGGCGCACGCCCTCATCTCTCGGGAGGGTCTCACACAGGCCCGCATTTCTGGTTAATGGTCGGGAACACTGGTTCAGGAGCTACGGGGCCCAGGTTCGCCTCTAACCTCCTCAGTCAGGAGCTGTGTGGCCTCACACGGCTCCGTAAATTCTGAAGGACTCAACTTCCTTGTGTGTGGAATTTGTGCACCTCACACTTCCCAGGTGGGAACTCTGTGGGGATGAAATGCTAAATGCGCTTAAATTCACAGACAGAGTCCTTGGCACATACAGCCTTTATGATGTGCCCTGCCACGCCTTGTTATACTTTCTCCCGCCCCCCACACTGCATCTTGGTTTTGGCTGCGGACTCCGCCCTACGTCCACAGGCTTTGCAGGCCTGCGTTGCAAGTTTAAAAATGCTTCTGAGGCTCTTCCTTCTCCCAACCATCACAAGAGTAAGAGAAGCAGAGAATTAAGGAAGTTAATTTTGTGCTGAGTGGGGTGGCGCACACCTGTAATTCCAGCACTTGGGAAGCTGAGGCAGGAGGCTCATGATAAATTCGACCAGCCTGGGTTACATGGTGAGTTCAAAGCCAGCCTAAACTACAGAGCAAGACCCTGCCTCAAGAAACATAACCAAAAACAACAACAACAACAAGAAATTAGTTTTGTGCACTCATATTTCCATGGACCTGTCAGACGCCACAGTGTTAAAGAAAGAGGTTTGGTCAATTGTGTGAGTGTGAGTGTGTGTGTGTGTGTGTGTGTGTGTGTGTGTGTGTGGTGCTGGGGAACTCAAGGCCTTTACACTGAGCTACACCCCAGCTTGCTTGCTTGCTTGCTTCCTCTCTCTTTTCCCTACTTTTTTTCTTTCAACAAGATCCCTCTAAGTTGCCCAGGCTGGGCTCCAACTCGCAATCCTCCTGCCTCAGTGCCCTCTGACAGCCCACTCTGGCCCCGCGCACCATCAACAGGGCTGGCACGGCCGCACGTGGCTAACCAAATTTAAATTAATGAGAACAATGAAATCTGAATATCGGCCCACTGCTGCTGAACACCTGCAAGGCTGTCAGCGCACCGGATGGCCCACAGCGTTCATTTCATTTAGCTTGCATCCATTTAATTTCAGTAGCTGTATGTGGTGGAAGCTACTGTACTGAACGCTGCGTATTTCAGGCGTCTTTTCCTGGAGTTTTATCAGGCCTGGCTCAGGGCTGCTGGGCAAAGATCTGACATGAAGTGGCATCCGGTGCTTTGCCCACGGCGCCGCAGGAAACCGTGAGGGTCAGGGTCCCGCACACTCTTCCTTGGCAGTAGAGCTGCTCTCTCTTCTCACTTGGTCTGTCCAGGGGTCCCTAAGCCTGCCCCTCCACACTGCCCACAGGGTGTCCTGCTGTAACGGACAAGCCAGGAACAACTGTCCTCAGACAGTGCTGCACATCTGCACCAGTAGGGAGCTGGTTAAAATGCGGGCTCTTGGCCCTGCCCTTGTCCCATGCTGCTGTGGGGAGCCTGGGACGGGAGCAGCAGTCCAGGTTTTAATCAAGCACCCGATGAGATGATTCTGTCGCAGGTGGTCTAGCTCTGAGCAACTCTGCTTCAGAGGCTGAAGTACATATTTATCTGCTGGCCTCCTAAATAATTATAGCACACAGGTCTTCTGAGACCAACACAGCCAGCAGGAAGCCAGGCAGTCGCCACTCTGCACCAACTGCTCACTCACTCCCACAGTGCTAGGGAAGTGCCCGCCACCCAGCCCTGGGTGCTTCCACCGCCTTTTTCTTTCTTCATCTGAACACACAGGTAAGGGATCTGCTTTTCGTCATCTGGGACAAACAGCAATGCCGGTGTGAAAGCATCTGAGGAACAGAAAGGGCAAAATGCGCTGGGTGGACACCCTACAACTCAGAGACACGTTCTGCTGTCCTAGAAAGAGTAATGGATTTCACATCTACGAAATCCACGTTGTTAAGTGCTCTGCAATACCTGGAGATCTGACAACACGGCGCTCATGCTGGGTTGGCAGCCTGACATGATTAAGAGCGTGGCTCTGGAGGCCTTGTGCACAGGTTTGGATCCCTGCTCCGGCACTTAGAAGCTGGGAGACTCTGTGTTTCTCAGTTTCTTCCGCGCAGAAAGCAGGATGATAATACACCTCTCTTGGTTTTGTGACAGTTAATTGAGCACGCTGCTGCCTGTAAAGGGCCTAGAACAGCGTCGGGCACATGGCAAGGGCGAGGTAAGTGCCGGCTGCACGGACACAGATCCCTGCACATTGCAGCACACAGCTGGCGCTGAGCCGCAGGCTCAGGGGGCTGCCGCACGAGCTCCTCGTATCTGCACCTGACCCCTTTGACCGGGGGTGCCGGCACCTGCCCTGAGAGGGGAGACACGCCGGGCGATCTCATAGCACCTTTCTTGGCTGTGGGCGTGCGGGGCCAGGCTGCTTTACCTTCATCCCACCGTGGACCTCGACGCACAGGTGGACATAGCGCACACCTGAATGACTCACCAGGAGGGCCTAGAGCACCCACAGGCCTGTCAGGAAGACAGCTGTAAGAGCAGCAGGATGAGCCGACCGAGCTTGAGGGCTGGATGTCATAGCAGGGACGGGGACCATGCCACCTCCACCTGACCACTGCCCTCTCAGGTGACACCCAGTCGTCATAAACCGACCCTGTGGAAAAGGGCATCTCGAGACTCGCCCCCTCCCTCCTCTCTGGGCTACTGCCTCCTCTCTGTCCTCAGCTGCACACTGACGTCAGCTCCCTGTGAGGTGCCGGGGCTCAGCGTGGCCCCGCGAGCTGCCTCGGGAGCCTGGGTGTTCCAAGCAGCACCTGGCTGGGGTGACCACAGCCCAGGCGGTGCGAATATCTGCTTCGCCTGTGTTCAAACCCATGGACGGACGGTCACTCTCCAGCAGCCCAAAGCCAACGGCAGCGGCCGCAGTGGACAGAAATGTCAGCCCCTGGGGCACAGGAGGGAGCCGGCAGCAGTGCAGGTCACCTGCAGAGCCCCGGTGGACAGGCTGGGGGTGGCCTCGGAAGGGACAGCACTCCTCACGTGGCTCCTCTCTGGCCTGCCTGGTTTCCCTCCGCCTTCTCCTCAGATGTCACTGACATCCAGCCCTCTGACGCAAGCCAGGAGCCACACCGAGATCCCGAGGGCCAGCACCACGTCACCAGAGATGACCCCTGGCTGGCTGCCTGCCGGGGCACCAGACCTACCTGTGGTGTTAGACAGGGCCAGCGAGTCCATGGAGCCCCGGGGGGTCTGCTCCGTGGGTGTCATGTCCTCCGTGTACTTCAGGGAGCTGATGGGGTGGCGGGTCCGACACTGCTGGGCAGCCATGCCGCCTCCCTCCTCTTCCTCCTCCTCATACTTGGGGACCGGGATGCTGCCCCGGGTCTCACTGAAGCTCTGACTGGACATGTCACTGTAGCTCTCCTGGGACCGCAGCCGCCCGGGGTAGTAGTCCTCGCGGCACTCCTGGACGAAGCTGCCGCCGTGTCCCTTCATGGCCAGGGACGAGCTCCTCTTGGGGTTGCTGAAGTGCTTGGGCCACACGTCGGGCTGGGCCCCTGCGCCCTGCCCTCCTGGGCTGTAGGAAGTTCTGATGTTGCACTGGCTGAGAAGCTGCAAAGGACTCTGGGACTGGTTCTGCTCCATCTTGTTCCCGTAGTGGTAGGGCTCCTCCCGGCTCCTCCAGATAGGGTCCCGGTTGAGGCTGGGGGTCTGGCTGGACAGGCTGAGCAGGTCCATCTGCAGCGACAGGGGGTCCACGTCTGCCGACAGCCGGTTCGAGCTCACCTGCAGCTGGCTGTGCGGGCTCAGCACGGCCTCCTCGGGCTTGGTCTTGTTCCTCCCAATCTTGGCGCTGCGCCGGGACTCCTTGGCCCGGGCATTCTGGAAGGCCGAGTCGGACGAGTCGGAGCCATTAGGGTCCTCGCCGGCACTGCAGGCCCGGGAGCAGAATATCTGGCCCTGCTTCGGCAGGAACGGCCGCCCCAGGAGGGACTTCTTGCAGTGAGCGCAGCAGAAGCAGGTCTCGGTGGCGTGCCAGTGCTGGCCGTCGTAGGTCATCTGACCCTGGTCGATCCCTGGAAGGGCCAGAAAAAGGCGAGGCTGAGGGACCGCTGGGCCCACGCTGCCTGGCTGGGCTTGGGGTAGGGGAATAACATACCCATCGGGCGCCTAGGCCCGGGTACCCGGCATGCACACCCTACTCCACACATCCTGCCAGGTGGCTCCTTCCTAACTCGCCTGCTCCCTCGCAACGCCCAGACCAAAGGGGGCACCCAGCACTCTGCCCGGGACAAACGGCAGCACAGGCCTAGTGTCCCGCACCAAAAACGTGAAGTGAAAACAATGCTCGGACAGTCACAGCCTTTGGATGTCAACAGGGCAGCACGAGCAGAAACCGTACAACGAAACTCTGCCGCAGGCCGGGAACTATTAAGGGCAACATATAAAGTGCGTGGGACTCGTCTGTTCACCCCGCCAGGCGCAGCCTCCGAGAAGTCGGTCAGTCCCTCAAACCCTCTGCAGGGAGTGGGGGCCTGGACGGAGCACGAGTCCTCCTGGGGAGGCCGCACCACGTGAGCCCCACCTCTAGAGCAGAGTGTCTGACCCAGCAGGTTCGTCCAGAGCCGGAGCGGGGCTCCGTGCGGGTCAGAAGGCAGGGACAGGAGGCACAAGCAGCCCCTCCTCCGCCCATTACCCTCTCCCAGCCTTGCAGAGGCTGTGGGGGGGACTCTCCATGAGCCGCCCTCAATGACAGGGTGGGACCCTCTCTCCAGCTGGGAGCCTGGCCCTACAGAGGAAGTGGGGGTGTCATGGAGGAGGGAGGGGCCTTGGCCACTGTAAGGACAGCATCCTGTGAATGGACCCGTCCCTCTGGGCAGCAGTGAGGGTGGCTGGTGGGGGCGCGGCTCGGAGCACAGCTGCGCCGGCTCTGGACACTTCCCGCCTTGGCCCCTGGTGCCCTTGGGACTGGACACACAGTTCTGCACTAGCTGAGAGTGAGGCTTCACTACAGAGGCAAACACAGGCTCAGATCCCCTCTACCCACTTCGCCCTGCCAAGTCGGGTCTCAGCCCTGCACCTCCGGGCAAGCAGCCGCCTCCGTGCCCGGGGCTGTGGTGAGGGTCCCTGCGGAGGGCAGCTGTAGGCCCAGCCCATGGCTCTAAAGCCTGGCTGCCCTCTGCGCCCAGTGTCCTGAGAACTCACGCCGAAACCCCTGGCCGCCTGGGGTCCTTGCCCAGCACCCGAGCAGCTGGCGTCTTGCTGGCTCCCTGCTCAAGGTCTGAGAGCAGTGTGGCCCCAGGCCTGCCCTCCGCCAGCAGCTGCTTGGTGCTTCTTCGAGGAGGAAGGGTCCCGTGCAGCAGCAGGGCCTGGTGCCCGGACAGGGCCTTGGGCAGGGCGGGCCCGGGAGGGGCGCAGAGGCGGGCGTGCTATAAAGCAGCCCCGCAGGCAGCGGAACGCGGCCTGATAAACATCAGCGCTGTCAGACGGTCCTCTGAACTGCTCCTGAACTCGAGACATCTGGAAAAGGGCTCTGCCCTGCAACATCTAAGCATTCCTGCTTTTATTCCCTCTCTAAGTCCTTTAATCACTTCGGCTGCAGCCACAGCCTCGGTCTGTTTATAGGACTGTTTATTCGGCTCTGTGCCGGCAAGAGTCCTGTTGCCATAGCAACAGTGGCCTGCTGCAGGGCCTGCTCCTCGCGGCTGGGTAAATGTGGAGCGTCTGCGCAGCGTGGTCAGGGGCACAGCACCCCCCACAGGGGACTTATGACACAGAGCGCAGACTACTGCTGTGGCAGGAGATCACGTTCCACAGAAAAGGGGTTTTAGAAAGAAGCCTCAGGGCCTGTGATCCCAGCACTCTAGGAAGCTGAGGCAGGAGGATTTTTGCAAGTTCAAGCCCAACCTGGGCAAAACCTCATCTAAAAATGCAAAAACAGATTTTAGAAAGTGGTCGGGTGGGGTGTGGCTCAGTGCAAAGGCCCTAGGCTCAATATCCAGCATCAAATAATAGTAACGCTAATGATGATACAAGAGAGCATCAGGGTCAGGAATTCAGCCATAGCAGGAAGCGCATTGCAGGTGCTAGCGCTTCCGATTCTGGTAAAACCCTGATGTCTTTCGTGGATGTGGGAGGGGAGAAAGCAAGAGGGAAGCCAGTGAACAGCTGGACAGCTGGAAGAAGAGGGCAAGAGGAAGGGCCAGCTCAGGTGTCAAGCAGGTTCCTCTCTCTCAAGCTGCCGGGTAAAAATTCTAGGTGTCTGAGCGGCTGAGGCTTCCCGAGGAGAGACGGGACTTGGGGGCCAGGAGCTGCCGCTGTGGCCAAGTGGTCCGGCGCCCCGCTGCTCACCTGAGCAAACGCTCAGCGCGGACTCAAGTTCTCAGGTCAGCAGCACGGGGCCAGCACACGCCCGTGCCCCTGCGGGTCCCACCTACCCCGCTCCCGCCCAGCCTCCCATCCTCGTCCACTGCTCCAGTGTGACTCAGAGCGCCGAAGTCCGTGCGCATGGGCGGCTGTTGTGACCCTTGAGAAAGGAAGGTTCCTGGGTACTTGGCTGAAGCCTCGGGCCGGGAGAGGGTGGCGTTCTGGGCTGGGGGGACGTCCTTGGGCAGTTTATGGCTTAGGAGCTATTTAAGGATCTCTTGTTTCAGGTATTGGCTGGCTTAGCTGTGCTGATGTTTTTTAAAGGAAGACATGTTGGCCAGAGCCATTGGGTTTCTTGACTGTCTGTCCCACCAAGAGCTCCGCTCTCCTGAGGAGAATGCGGGAGACAGTTTGTCTGCCCACCTTCTCCCTCCGAGCCCTCACGTCTTCCCTGGTGCGGCACACAGCTCCGCCTTGGAAGTGGGCCCTTGACCAGAGTGGGGCTGGCGGGACTCTGATTTGGAGGAAGTGACCTGGAAATTGAAGTGACGCGGCCCCTCCTTTGAGCCGTCCTGGGGACTCAGCTTGGTGGCCACGTGGGGCAGCACGCTCCCTTGGGAGCCAACAGAAAAACCCAGACTTCGTCTGAACCTTGGTCCATCCCTCCCTGAAGCTAGCACTCTCCTTGGGTCCTCTCGTCAGTCTGTCAGTCAGTCGAGGAACGCCCAGCTTTACCCAGTGAGCTGGGCTCCCGCGCCTTGTAACCAAAGGGAATCTAACTGCATCCGGCAGAGAGACGCCACTGCGACAGGCTGGAGCTGCGCGCCCCGCCCGCCTCACCTATGTGCTGGGCGCAGGTGTCGCAGTACTCCGCGTACAAGGACTCGAAGCAGTGGCAGCAGTAGGGCCTCCCCTCCTTCATGATGTAGCGCTGGCCGCCCAGCACCGTCTCACACTCGAAGCAGCAGAAGTGTTTCATGTGCCAGTGCCGCCCCTCAGCCTCTGTGCACTCGTCCGCAAAGATGATCTGCAGACAGGAAGCCGAACAGTCAGTGTCCGAGACCCGGTGCTAAGAACCCCCTGCAGCGGGGCGCCCAGAGTAGAAGGCAGAAAGCAGCTCTCCTGCACGAATCGTTAACTGAAAACCTACACGTGCCTGTGCGTGTGTGTGTGTGTGCACGCACGCGTGCGTTGATTCTACATCTACATCAGCTCCCGCACTTGGATTTGCCCGGAGCACAACTAAACATGCTGCGTGGCCTGACCGGCGAGGAGCCACCTTAGATAGGACAGAGGATGTCGTGCCTTAGGGAGCTCAGGGTGGGGCCCAGGACAGGGCGCTCACGGGCGCACTGGCCGTGCACAGCTGTTTCACTTGGCCCGTGCACGGTATTTTGTTAAAATGGGAGATGTCACAGAAACACCTGGGATCCCGGTTACTGCTCTGAAACTTAACTCCGGGCAACACTCCCGACACGGTCCGGCCTGGCACGGGCAGCCAGAGCCAAGAGGGCGGCTGCTGCTTTCACACGAGTGGCAAGCTGCTCGATCTGTCACACGCCCCATCACTCCCCGCTGACACGCAGTGGGACGACCTCATTTCCTACCTTTCTGGCCCCTGAGTTTTTGTGCCTTTCACCCCGATGTAGGCTTGTTTCAAATTTTAAAGCACAGATATCAAAATGTACTACCGCTTAGCGCAGTCAGCCAGCCAGTGTGGGACGGGCGCAGCGTGGACACAGAGGGGAGTGGGAGAGGCTTGAGAGCCTGGGAATAAATCCACACAGACACGGTCAACTGATCCTCACCGGGCGCCAAGACCGTCCCGCGAGGGCAGGACAGTCTCGACACACGGCCTGGGACGACAGGACAGCTGCACAGGAAATAAGCAATCTGAACCCCTACCTGCAACCATATATAAAAATTAACAGAAAGCGGATTAAAGGCCTAAATGTAATGGGAAAAAAGATAAAGCACTAAGAAAAAAAAACACAGGTAGAAATCTTGTTGACCATGGGCCAGGCAACGGTACTATAGATATGACACTAAAATTATAATTAACAAAAGTTAAGTAGATTCCATCAAAACTGAAAACGTTTATGCTTCAAAGGACATCATTAAGAAAATGAAAATACAAATAGAGAATGGGAGAACATATTTTCAAATCATGTATCTGTTAAGGGACCATATAAAGAACTCAACTTGGTAGTAAAGAGAAAAATAACCCAACTGGAAAAAATGGACAAAAAGCCTAAGTACATATTTCTCCAAAAAAGAAAAAATACAGTAAAGATGCTTAATATTATCAGCAGTTATGGAAGTACGAATCAAACTCTCAGTATGATACAACTGCATACATACTAGGATGACTACAATAAAAAATACACACAATTAAAGTGCTAACAAAAATGTGAATAAATTAGAAAGCTCATGCATCCATAGCATGAATGGAAAATGGTGTAGCTATTTTGGGAGATAGTGTGGCATTCTCTCAAAAAGGTACACTAAGATTTACCATATGACCCAGCATTTCACTCCTGGATATGCACTCCAGAGAAAAATGTATGGATACACCAAAACTTACACATGAATCTTCATAAGCAACATTGTTTACAATAGCTAAAATTGGAAACAAAAATGTCTATTAATTGCTAAATGGTTAAACAAAAGGTGAGGCACACTTATAACTGGCTGTTATTCAATCATGAACAGGAATGAAGCACTCTACATGCTACAACATGGGTGAACCCTGAAACATACTAAGTGAAGGACTTCTGACAGAGGCGGTCACATATTACAGGATGTCTTGAAGGTGAAATATCTACAGGCATTTGTAAACCCACACAGCCAGAGGACACAGTGGAGCGGAGGAGAGGCTGGGGAAGAGGTGACTCCTAAAAGACACAGAACTGCACTTTGGCCGAAGCAAGCGCTCTGGAAGCAGACAGGAGGGGCGCGCACGGCTGTGTGGAGACGCTAAAGTCAAGTGAGCTGCATATCTTAAGGGGGGGTCCTTAATGCTATGCAAATCCTATCTCAGTAGGCGGAACCTCCCAGGCCCACTTCCTTCAGTCACCTTGTTCTTTGCCCACGAGGAACATAAAGTTGTCCTGAGTACTCATTTCCCGCTGGGAAACTGAGCCCTGAGGGTACAGCGGCGGCCAGGGGCCCCAGCCTTGGACCTGAACTCAGGGTTCCTGCTTCCTGCCTTCAGCGGCTCTGCAGCACAGGACTCTGGCCACTAGACCCCACTTCAGTTGAGTGCGATCAGGTCCTTCCTAGAAAAGTGATGCCAGCAGGCCGCTGGTCAGTGGTGCCCACGTCCTAGTGCACTCTGGCTGGATAAGGGAGGGTTAACCGCCCAGACTGCTGTTTGTAAAAGGTTACACAGACCCAAACGCTCCTCTGGGCAGGAGGAGACCTGTCTCTAAGCCTCCCCAACCGACTCCTGTAGAAGTGGTCAGGTTTAGAACGCTCTTTGTGCTCCCAACTTTCACAGCTGAGCCAGCACCTTGATTCTGTTGCCTACAGGACTGGCTTCTGGGGAAACACAGGCAGGGGCAGGGGCCTGTGTTCCGTCCTGATTTCTCCGCTGGCACAGCTCATGCAGACGCCCTGGAGTGGCCACCTGTCTCCTGAATTTCCATCCAGAACCTCTGCAGGTTGTGGGGGAATAAAACATGCCACTCGTTTTCTCCTCTAACCAACCTGTCCCGTCAAAACCTGGACAAGCAGCACTCCGTTCCTGACGACTAATCCCTGGGCTTTGGGCTGACAGCTGCCTAAAACTGCTCAACACCCTAAAAAACAAAAAAATTAAGAGCTCTGTACAGACCCTGAACCAGATGAACGAAACGGGATCTCCCAGGCCATCCCGAGGGGAAACGCGCCACCTCGGGTAAGGCCGAAGCCCGGACAGTCTGGGCTGGGAGGGGAGGAGAGCGCCTCTCTGGAAAGCGGGGAGACGCTGCCTACGGTGTGTGCTCCGTGCAGAAGCCACAGGTCGCGCGTGGGTAGGGCCGTGGCCGGCGGAGGGTGCGGGCAGGGTGAGGCGGCAGGGCGGGGCTCTGACCTCGTCACAGGCTGCACAGCGCGGCTTCAGGCACTCGGCGTGGTGCCTGCCACAGTAGATCTTCCCGTCTTGGTAAAAGTAGATCAGATCCACCAGGAGCTCACTGCAGACGGTGCATATGAAGCAGGGCGGGTGCCAGCAGACGCCGTGGCCAGCGCGGGACGCGAACACAGCGATGTCCCCGCCGTTGATCTGGCCCCCGCACTGCAAGGCAGACAGAAACATCAGTGCCAGCCCGCCCGACGTCCAGTGCGGTGCGCAGGTGCCCAGCCACGCCGCAGCACCCAGGCACCGAGCGTCTGCCCGCCCTCCTGGCACTCTTCACGCAAGTGGCAGAGCGGGCTCCTGCCACCCCTTTCCCAGGTCCTCCAGAAGGTGAAGACAAAGTTGCTGGGGGACCCAAGGGTCGCCAAGGTGGGAAAGGAAGAAGACGTCCTGCAGCAGGATGCAGGGCCCTGCAGGCGGGAGGCCAGCGTGCACGCACGGTCTGCACAGAGGCCTGGCCAAGCCTCCCGCCAGGGGAGCAGATGGGGGGGGGACCGGAGGTAGGGGCGCAGGTCGGGTGCCCGAGAGGGAGGGGCCTGCAGACGCCCGCCCCCACCGCACCTGCCCACCCCCAGTGTGCTGTCAGCCCCTCTGCCGCGCCCTGGAGGAGACTTGCTGAGGGCACCGCTCAGGCCAGAGCAGCGGAAGCTCCCTTCAGTGTCCTCCGTACCCCGCTGCACTTCTTCCAAAGAGCCCTTCCCTGCCCGAGAAGAGCAAGGCGGTCACAGAGGACTGCGCGGGCGGGGCGGGGCTGCGCGTGCTGGGAGGGCAGTGGAGGGAGGCAGAAAGCGGGAAGCGGGTTATCATCCTCACCGGAGGCGACAGCCTCGAGGGACAGTCTGCGGAGCTCACACGTGTGACCAGAAAAGGGCGACACCGCCTTACGGCAGGTCGTTCCCACGGTCCACCACGGCCCGGAGAGCCACACGGTGCACCCACGACGCCATTTCATCGTCCCCACTCTCTGCAAGGTCCCTCACCCCACTGCGCAGACGGCAAAACCAAGGACAAGTAACAGGGTCCGGGTCGCCCGGTGGAAACTTGAGTAGACTTAGCAAAGGTCTTTCAGCTTCCACGGCCTCACAGTCCTCTGTGCTCTGCTGGGCACCTGCCCAGAAATGCCGAGCCTCCCTCGCCCTCACCGGGGGCTGCTCTGAGGGCGAGGCAGGGCCTGAACTGAGCACAAGGATCCTCACATCATCAGCACCGAGCACCTCAAGGGCAGGTCTCAAGGATGCTTTCCGAGGATGGAGACCCTACCACCACCTGTCTGGTAAGACCCTCCCCATCCCGCCTACCGGAGCTGCCTGACCTCCTATTTACAGACCCACGCGCTTGGGTCCGTCCGGAGTGCTGCAAGCTACACGCTGCTCGAAAGCGGCAGCACTGAGAGAGGGGTCAGGAATGACCGACTGCACCACCCTGCTTTTGGGAGCTGCGAGGTGGGCAGGGGAGCCCAGGCAGGCTGGATCCCCTCCTTCTTTTCTGTAAGACCCTCCCCTACCACGCCCAGAGCACTGCGGAGAGCAGGAGCAAAACCAAATTCCCACCCTTTGACTCAGGGAGCTCCGGAAGAATGCAGAGCGCTTCTTGCACTTGGACACAGAACTCACAGACCTCGAAGACCAAGCGCCTCCCCTTACAGGGCACCACGGGTCCCGGGAGGTCCTGGGAGAGAGGCTGACAGTGGCCCAGGCAAACTCCTTTACCGAAAGCACTCACTTCGAGGTCGGAGTCTTTCACACTGCTCCTCCGTCAGTCTCGCAATGGCTTATGCAGCCTCCACGAGCTCTGACTACATCTGTCCCAGCCAACGGCCACTCGCTGGCCCTGGAGCACAGCAGCCACCTCCTGGCAGGACCTCCGAGCTGGCTGTCCCCCCTGCCCCCGGTCAGCTCCCTCCCTCCCTCCAAAACATCTTCAGAAGGCTGTTCAGAAGCTACCTTCCAAGTGGGGTCTTCCCACGACCCCAGTCCTTCCCAGCCCCCGCCCTGCTGTGCTTTTCCTACTTGGCTGATAACATTCACTGTCTGATGTCTTCCCCTAGAGCACAACCCCTTACAAGGGCACGATCGAGCTTTCACGTCTGGTTTCACCACTGTTTCGCCGAGGCCCAGAGAGGTGCCAGGCACATGGCAGCAGGTCGAAATCCTCAGAATGAAGAAGTGGGTGCCAGGGTGCCAGAACTGCGCCGCCCTCTGGGAAAAACACTCACCTGCTCACAAATCGCTCCGGTCATGGTGACGGGGAAGGGCCTGACACTCCCTCTGCCCAAGTTCTCCCGTTTCCTCTGATTGCTGAACAGCTTCAGCTCCCTCTTCTCCTCCTCATCCAGGGAGTTGCAGTACCGGACCTGGATGCACAGAGCACAGCGGGCATTGGCGGCCCTTGCTCCCATGCTGGCCTGGAGCCCCGGCCTCAGCTTCCCCACTGCACTTGCTGCCACTGGGATTTACAGCACTGCCTGAACTTCAACAGGCCCAGGCTTGGTGCTGTTCAAGGGAAGCCTTTCCTGAGATTGGTGAGGCCCAAAGGAACCCTTTAAAGGCTCTGAAGTCTGGAGCCCAGGTCCTGGGCAGGCTGTTGGTTCTGCAGCTGCTCTGTACGCTGGCCCCTTACCCTGCTCACCACCCTCAGAGTCAACTCAGGAGTGGCCCGGTGCTAGAAAAGTTCACTTTCTTCCAAGGTGTAGAGACCTGATGCCTCCAGCTACATGTGCCCGTGCAAATGATCCCTACCACCAAAGAAGGGCACCAGCCAGTGACCAGGACTGAGGTCACTGTGCCTGCTCGTGGCTTCTGCCTTCTACCTCACTTAGGGAGGTGGGACACGGAGGCCTGGGCCTGTGAGTTGGTGTGACACTGAGGGAAGCGCTGGGGCACCTGGGGGGGGGGTGCCTGCTGGGCTTCAGTGAGTGTGACAGCACGCTATGCCCAGAAACTCACAGAGCGATGGCAGGGGTGGCACAGACGTTCAAATCCAGTATTTGCCATTCTCCCCGCTTACTTCTGCACGCTTCGGCAACTGCACCACATGCACGAAATACTATCTACTAATCCTCGTGTTAAAAGTGACTCACTTTTTAAAAACTTGAATATATTTACCTAAAGTGTATTATGACACACACACAAAGTCAGTTGCTTGCAACAAACACAGGGTGACCATGAAAGCAGAGCACACAGCCGCACTGTTGGACTCCAGCCGGCTACTTTGCCCTCGGGAGAGGCTAAACCTGAGATCCCTGACGCTCCTGCTGATCACTGAAGACTAGCATGAGGGAGAGAGGTGAGATACCAGCCGGGACCAAAGTGGAATTCCCTCCCTGTACCCAGTCACTCCATCACCTGAAGGGCAACTCCCTTCCCATAAGCTCGGTTTTATTCACTACTGTGTTGACATTCCACTCCAGGCCGTATCACACTGCCCGTTGGGAATACGGCCCTGAACCCACCTGCCTTCTCATTCTGGAGTGATCTGGGCATCAGAGAGGGTTCCCCGTGTCACTCTGCTGATTTGTCACAAAGGTGTTTGGAGGAAAACCTGCCAACTAGGAACACCCTCCTCTAATCTGAGACCAGTACAACTGTGACTGTCCAGGTTACCTTACCCGGGCGATCAATATTGACTTTCTAGTCACTGTTTGTCTTCCAACGGGCAACACCAAGGGGCCCATTCTGCCCAATGGGCCCCATGCACTGCATTCCTACCAGTAGGAAGTGGTGATCTGAATGGGGTCTCTTCACAAAAAGCACTGCTGACCACACCCGAAATACACAGTCAAGGTGGAGAAGAGCAGACCATGTCCCATCATCAAGTAAAAAGTTTTTTTTTAAAAAGTCATCATAGGGGCTGGGGATTTAGCTCAGTGGCATAGTGCCTGCCTGGCAAGAGCAAGCTTGTGAGTTCAATTCCCAGTACCCGGAAAAAAAAAAGGAAAAAAAAAGTCATTGTAAGAATGTGTCAGAAAGAGAACCACAGTGACCTCACCAGCCCAGGACACAGGTGGTCCCACCACTGACATTTTATGTGCATGCCTTAGGAGCAAGGTACACCCTCCCCGCTTGTAAAAACCTGCATTTTCATCTCTAAATTCGTTAAACTGGGCATCAGGTTACCATGTTTGCTTCTAGCTTTAAAGGAGAACACATATTTGTTTTATGATGGCTGATACAAGCAGCATGTAAAGAGAATCATCGCCCTCCTAGGGAGTGGCTTCAGTTTTCAAGTGTCATTTGTTCGTTTACTTAGCCGAGGTGCTCAGGATTCAACCTAGGATCTCCTGCGCACGAGGCAAGCGTTCTACCACTGAGCTACACCTCCAGCCCCTCACGTTGATTTCTGCGGCTCTCAAATGATCGCCTTTCATTGGAATGTGCAAAGTCATGCTGCAAAACACTCCCTCACTTCCCCTGGGACCAGCCCAAGGACTGGGGGACTGAGAAATTGGTGCCCAGCTCTCTGAAGGGGCTCTTTTGCCTTTCAATTTAAAATTACACTTTTGTTTCAAATGCAGTCAGAATTAAGCAGCACAATTGAATAGGATTCCTCATTTTTAAAAACCAGATACCTAAATTTTAGTTTCCAGTTTACAAACCTCATCCCTTCCAGCACACTCTTTTTTTTAAAAAAGGATGTTTGCAAATTCCCATTTATGATCAATGCGATTTCAAGGAAACGCCTGCTTCGAGTACTGCTCTTGGATTGACAAGGAGGCCAGTCTGAAAGCCGTGCTTCCAAAGGCACAGACTCCCCAGAGACAGAAATCGCAGACGTGCAGCACTGCTGATATGGACACACAACTTCTCCTGCAGTGTGACGTGGAAAACCTGCACATTCCTGTAATACAAATGATGCTGAAAACTTGGAGACTCACGCAGTTACTGCAGGGCTTGCAATGACCCGGGGAGCCTCAGTCATCTCTCCAGCCCATGCCGGCAGTCAGCAGGGCACCTCCTTCTTCAAGTCAGGAACCTAGGGCCTGAGTTTTTAACTTGTACCATGCCAGGCACAGAGGCTAATCCAGTCATAATGAGACCCTGGCTTTTGGCCACACTCTCCAGAAAGTGTTTTTCTGTTTCTTTTGGCTCTAAATTAAGGAAGCTAAAGACCTAAGAGAAATTGCCAGAGGTTTTCCTCAGCGACCTCGCTGATCACAGCTTTCTGACTGTGACATGGGGCACCAGGCACAGAGGTTCCAAGCAGCCCCAGGCCCTCCTTACCTCATTGTCATGCGGCGGCAGCTGGTGAAGGAGCTGCTTGATGCGAAGTTTCTCTCCAGGGCTGTTGACATAAGGGACTTTCTCTTCTGGGAGGCAGCTGTAGTACTGGTGCACCTGAAGGACAAAGCACACAGAGACTTGCCCACCGCTCTCATTCTGTGCCCACGGCCCCCTCCTGGGGTGCAGATCTCCCCGGCTGGACCCAGTCCTCTTCTGCTGCCTCCACGTTCCCGCATTTCCTACAACCAGCAGAGAAGCTCGTTTGGAAGAAAGAGCCAAGCCCGTCACCCCAACGGGGGGTTTCCTATGGGGAAGGGAAAAGGAAAGCCAGCACACTTTCCTAGCGGAGGAGACTCCGCAAACAAGCTGGGGAGGCCGGGGGATGGGGCTTCCCGCGGACTCCCTCCCCGGTGTCGCTTTACCATTTTCTGCAAGTCTCCAGCAGGCGAGGCGCCTCCCTCGCCAAGGGATGTGTCAGCGCCTGCCTGGGCACTGCAGTCGCAGCTTGTCTCTGGAGCTCACTCGGTGGACTCGGGTGCCCAGCCTCCACCTACATTAAAAGCCCTTAGGTTCTGAGCTGTCTGCACAGCAGGAAGCAGCTGGCATCCATCAGAAAAGGGACTCACCAAGTTCAGCGTGCAGAGCATGGTTCAGCAGCTGTCACATGAGGACTTTTGCACCTCCTCTCACGGTCCTGTTCGTGACTGTTAGGACCGAGTCCTGCACTTTCTGAGGCTCGTGCAACCCGAGCAGTTGGGGAAAGTACCAAGCATCTGATTTTGCCTGAGCACGGAAACCAGACCTTTACCACCCAGCCGTGTGCCGAACGAGGGGAAGGAACAACTGAGCAAGGAGAAGCTGTGTTATCACACAGGATGGGCAGAAATAAAAATTCCACAAGCTCAGATAACATCATGGAAAAGACTTCCAAGTATTTCTTGCTTAGTGCTCTGAGCAGCTCTTGTGAAACAAGGCACCCGTTTAACAACCGGAAGAAGGCAGAGCTGCAGGCCCCAACTGTACTGTCTTCACTGCACTCCACACACTGGGCCGCATCCCCCGTGACCAGGAGCCTTGGGAATGAACACATGCTCTGGGAATGCTGGGTGAAGAGTTGCGAAAGCTCTGCCTTCTTTGATCTCCAGAAACCAAGCCATGAGTGTTAGAAGAAACAGCAGGAAAGGGCTTGTGACGACAGGGCCTTAAAAATGTGAACGCCATCTTTATTTTCTTAACCCAGTGATGGGAACCATTCACCATCAGGTTCTGTCATCCTCTGAGTCAAATCCCACAGGCAACCACAAACAGACCTCTTGACCCAGGCTGCAGGCTTTGTTGGGCAGGGTCTCTGTGGGCCGCCCCCAGAGGCCCTGGCCAGAAGCCATGTCCTGGGTGAGAAGGAACAGTTCTGGTTCTGCAGCTCACAGATTGCCTGTACTCCTGGGCAAAAGCAACAGCCCATATCAAAAGTTGGTTTGGGATTAGGAGCTGGCTATTTGCTCCTCTGGGACTGGCCCGGCTCTCCTGGAATGTGTCCCCAGGGTCCCTGGAGTTTCTGCTTCATGGGGCATGAGCCAGGTGTAAGGAAGCAGGCTTGGTCTCCGCGTCTTGGGGAGCAGGCTCTGCCTCCCAAATCGGAGTACTGCTTGTAGGAAGGTCACGTTCCACCATCACCCTATCATTCAAGTCTTACTAGAATCACTGAACATCAGGAACAGTTGCTGACACGGAATGAATCACTGTGATGCTTGAGAATGCAGGATAACTGGCGCTTGCCTGATCCTCCTCTTAATCACCCCTCTCGTCACTGACCAGCACATTTGTCCATGACAGCCCTTCTGAGCTAGCACCTTGAACCCAGCCGGCCGTGATCCTGTCCACGGCTGCTCAGGCTGGAATCTCTCTGCACCTGGTACAGCACGGCAGGTAGAGCTGCATTCTGGCTGTGGCTCTGTCATTCCCCGCCTTCTATTCCTGAGCAAGTTACAGAGCTGTGCGGGGCAATCGTGCGAAGACCAGGATGAATAAATGAGAGAGGAGGCCAAGCGCGTGGCCCTTAGGTAGAGTAAGTAACGTGAACACGTAACGGAAGCACTCTCCAGCCTGGCCTGGTTCAGACAGGGCACTCCAGGTGCTCCCTGGCCTCTCCTCCATTCTGTGTGCACGTCAGCGGTGGTGGTGGATACAGCAGGGCCAGAACACGGGAACCACCACCTCAGTGAAGTGAGACAAACACACTGCAGCAAACAACGACAGTAAAACTTGTTTGATTTCCAAAGAAAAACGTCAAGTTATTACAGAAGCGTGTGCTTTGTTGAGAGCCTCAGTAGTACTGTAGGACCTCAGGAGGAAATGGCAACTGTCCCTTCCCGGAAGGCAACTGCTATGGGATTTCTCACTTCCTGATTTTGTGCTCTCTTCCCTCTCCTGGTCTCTCTCTCAAGCTCTGTTCCTCACCGTCTCCAAGCGTAAGGCCTCCCACAGCACTCACTTTACTTTGAACAACTTCAGTTCAAGAGGCATCCTACACTGACCAGCTTTTCTCAATTCTACATTCCCCAGAGACAGGCCCTGGTCACCCCAGCTTGGGTTGGGTCCACATTAAGAGATGGATGGAAGGTGTCTTAACTTAGTCACTGAGGTGTCCCATCCTCAAAACAAATCAGGGCACAGTAATCAACAACATATCAAGTCACCCCATCACACAGCAGGTGATCCAGCTCGCTCTGGGAAGGGGGAAAAGTTAGCCCTTCACGACTTCCAGTGCTCTTCAGAGCTTGCTGGAGCCCAGGGGAGGAGGCCAGCCCTCTGAGGCTGGCTCTGCATTTCTTGGTGTTTGGACACAGGACTTTCCAAGCTTTGCAGCAAGCAAAGAGATTATCAGAAGGAAGGAGGGGTGGAGAACCAGGTCTCCTGGATTCCCACTGGTCTCCTGCTGGATATAAGAGTGCTGTGTCCATCCCCTGTGGCATCTTCCACGATTAAATTCCTGGGCGGCCCAACACAAATGCCAACCACACCAATGATAACGGGAAAGGACAGAATATACTTTCTGATACTATAAAAACTAAATTTGGTGCTGCCTCTGAAAATCCTGTAGATTGCTCACATTAGTTGAAACATGTTTTCCTTGTCCATTTTTAGAAATAAATAAGCAAACCTAGTAGAGTTTTGTCAAAGATGATCAACACTAAGTCATTACCTGGTATGATGATAACTTTACATGTACCGAGTATATTTATTCCAAAACAGGTCTGCTGGATGTGTTGGAAGCCTCACGCCATTTAAGACATTTGTTGGGAAAGGTGTCCTGTGATCCTGTCCTGCATGACGACATACAAGGTACACTTCCCCGAACAAAAGGATCTGAACACAATGCACTGACTTAGGAAAATAAACAGCTGAAGGCCTTTATGTAAGGTGTTACTCCCTAACAGGGAAGAGGGGTGGCAACTTCAGTCCATGCCACATGGATTGCAAGCACTTCACTCAGTGTGCAAATACACTCTATAGCCAGGCCTCACCCAGCTGAAGACTGGGCTTGTTAGAAGGAAGTGTATGCCTGACTCCATTTCTGCCTGCGTACAGAAGGGCAGCTCAGAACTCAATGACTCTACCTGTGGGCCAAAAACGTGCTTTTCAAAACGTGGTTAAAGCACTTCAGTGTGTCAGTCCCTGAACGAAGTGCAGCTTGGCTAGAATCCCTTGACTTCTCCCTCAGAAGTCTGGGCTCAGGCCCAGTGACCTGCCCTTCTATCCGGGAACCATGCTTTGAGAGTTCTTGAGAGTTATCTCATCATTTTCCCTCAGTAATCCACTGTCTTGGTTTTTTTCTTTCATTGCTGAGACAAAATACCTGACACCCAGAATTAAGGAAGGAAAGGTTTATTTAGCTTCCAGTCTGTGGAGGTTTTCGGTCTGTACTCAGCTGGCTCCAAGGTAGGGTGGCACACGGCAGAGGGCAACAGTTCATGGCAGTGGAAGACAGCAAAAGCACAAGAGCACAAGGGAGGAGCAGCAGCAAGCAGCCTCTCTCCCTCCCTCACACTGTATGCAAACTACCTGCCTCAGGGTGGGTGTAGCCCTCACACCCATAATCCCAGCATTGGGCCATGGATCAATCATAAACTCTAGACGCCCACGCCATGACTGCATGAGGCTTTGGGGGACACCCAGACACGAACCATAACACCCACCTATGCAGCTGCCATGTAAGTGATGGGGTTTGTTTTTCTAGGAAATCCAGGAACTTTCGGGGTTGCGAAAGAACTTGCTGGACATGGTCAATTTCTCAGGTGTCTCTTTCCACATCTAGGTGGATGAGTAAGCAGGGAGCATTCACCAGGTCCAGTGCGAATGGAAAATCCTAAGACCGATGCACTCACACAGTTGGGTGGGAACATTTTCTGTATCAAAAACACCACTCTGTGACAGCAGGGACCTAACAAAGGGACACCAGACTCTCCTGGTTGATCTCAGAATCAACTGTTCTTCACTGCCCACATGAGAAAAGGGGCCAGAGAGCTATCTGTTCACCGAGTGGCGCTTCGGCCTGAGTGTTTACAGCAGTTGTTCCACGAGTACTCCCGCACCTGAGAGGTGGGTATTTCACACTTGCTGACTGAGTTTCACACAGTTCCGTGGGGGGCAGATTCACCTTTCTCCTTGACATCCTCATCCTCCCCCTCTGTTCACTGTGGATTGTTGGCGTTTATCAAGAAAAAGACACTGGCAGGTGGATGGGGGAAAGGTAGACAGACAAACAGTGCCCCTCGCAGACGCAGCAGATTTCTAATACGTGTGTACGGCTGACCACAGGAATGATGAACGTTCCCTTGACCATCATAAGATGCCCAGATAAATCCAACATGAACTTACTGTGAGTAAAGATGTTCCGGCATTCAACAGTCTCCCACAGCACCACGGCCTGATGGGGCCACACAGCTACGCAGAAGAGGCTGCTTAACCCACACCGTCGTTTTTAGCGCACCAGTGTGGCTGACCAAGAACATTTCTGTGCCTCCCCAGAAGCTGCACTTGACAATGGGAATGCAGTGCAGCTCACCACATGTAAGATGCCACTTGGGAAGAGCTCTTCTCAGGGAGGCCAGCAG